CAGGATGCTCTGAACCGTCAGACCAACTCAAATGGCTGATGTCAGTTTAAGCAAGTGAACAGATCTACAGACAAAGGATTTTTTTTTTTTTTTTTTACAACAAGAATGTGGCAAAAACATCAACACACACATGGGTCTGGACTTGCACTTCAAACTAGCAGCAACAAAGCCTTTGTCTCGTGACAAACTCACTTCCATTTCCTTATTATGTAGCTGCAGGCCTTGTTGGGAACACGCTTGTCTTAAAAACAACAACACACACACACACTTACACACACACACACACACACACACACACATAAAAAGGCAGCAGCAGAAAATGGGTGGTGGTGGCCTGCCGTCATCAACCAGAGGGGGAAACCCACCCAAACTGAACCAGACTGTTTTCATCTGGAACTGTGACATTGGTATTTTTAGTGTGTTATTTAAAAACTATTGTGTTTCCTCACTTTATCAGTTTGGCATGAATGCGATGTTTGGCCCTTTTTTTGTGTGTTTTTTGCTAATCAGTAATGTCAGATTTTCAGTATTTTTTCAATCTGACAAAATTCACATTAACTTGAAACAATTGAAATGATCAGTTAGTTTAGATGAGACTATTCATGTTTTACTACGGCCTTAAAGACTATGGAGGTAAATTGGTTAATAGACTAAAACAAACTTCTGGGAAGACATTTTCTCCATTTTCTAGACCTAACATCAGAGTAATTAATCACATCCAAAGACTATGTTTTTGTCTGCTAAACAACAATTAATCTTAAGTTCTGTAATAATAAAATGTTGCAAAAACAAATCTATTGCAAAAAAAAAGCTTATAGTGGAAATTAAAACAACAATAATAAAATTGAGAACAGAACCAGCTAAACCTAGCCAAAATAGCTAATAAAAAAATAACACAAACAATAGATAAGGTTTGCTAAAATAATAATTACTTAATGTTAGTCAAAAAATAAAAAGACTAATAAAACAGTTAAAACACTGTAAAAAAAAGGTCTTCTTGGAAAAACAAATTTTATAAAAAAAAGTATCAAAAGAATATTAATTGTGAGGTGAAAAACAAATAAAACTTTAGCTAAAATATTTACAAACTGTCTAGAAAAAAGTCTAGAAATAACAAAGACATTGATTGATTTAAAAAAAAAACTAAAAAAAAGTTTGTGATGATACTGGTACTAACTAATAACTGCAACGATGAAGTTTTGGCCTACAAAGGCCTGAAGTTTGGTTTGGGGAAATGTTCGACTGTCTCTTGACATTTTAGTCCTTATTATGTGTAATAGTTGACAGAGAGCTAGTGAGTGTTGTTAACTCTGAGGAGCTTCTACCTGCTGAGAGCATGAACATGTGAGAACCACAGGAAGTCTGCTGAGAACTTCAGGCTCAGAGCTGATGTCATGAAAAAACCCTTTCAGGCTAAAATGTCACTGAGACACCAACAATAACAGGAGCATCAACCCTGGGTCTGTATGACAGACATTTAATTTATGAAGCATTTGCTAAAGTGGGAAAACTGTAATCTATTCAATTTTATTTGATTATTTTATATTATATTAATATTAAATTAATTAGCACTTTTTGTCAGGGAGAAAAGAGCTGTTACGCACATATTTTGAAACCGTTTCTCTTACTTTTTTTGCAAGTTTTTGCTTCGACTGACTGCTGTTGTTATGCTTTCGTTGTCCTAATAATTACTTTTGCTCCGTTTCTGTGCAGCATTAAATCTTAAATGTAAAAGTCTGCCACAGATCATGTTGATAATGTAAGATGACAAGGGTCAACTTTTAATGGTAAAAATTCAAAAGTACCACAGGGTACACAGTCTAATGTCTAACAACATGTATTTCTGAAGTTAAATCCAAGCCAACCCTGTTCTAACTGATTTTCTGGTGTCTTTCTGCAACTTGAGCCCGAGAGAACAGGAAAAGGTTAAGAAACTAGAAGTAAAAATAGTTAAAGAATACGTAACCCAAATAGTTCAAAGTTAAGCAAAAACAAAAAAGGGGGGGGGGGGGGCTGGTAGAAAAAAATGTTTAAACAAAAACAGGCCAGTAGCACAGTTAAAAACTGTAACCAGAAAAAAGGCAAACATATATGGGTATTTTTTTTGCAAAATAAATGAATCTTCATCAAAAAACGCTGGATAAAATATAGAAAAAAATATAGGAAAAATTTGATAAAAGGGTAAAAATATAGATGAAGAAAGACAAGTCATGATAAAAACGTCTCATCACTAATTAATAATAACAATTGTCACAGGAACATAAAAGTAAATGCTTTATAAAATGACGTATAGAGACATAAGGACCTCAAAATAAACTGCTTTTTAGTTTTTGTTTATAGAACAGTTAAAGTCACAATTCATTGGAAAGCAGAGTTTTTCTTCTTCGTTCTCTATTTTTGCCTCTTTTCATGCCGCTGATTGAAAACAAATGTGTGAGGACAAGTCAATAACAAGTGCAAAAACCAAACCCCAGTGACTCTCTGCAGACCCCTCCCTCTGCTTTTGGGGAGGGCTCAATTGTTATTTACCCGCTTTCAAGGAAAAGTGCATGCACACACACGCACGCACATATAGAGCAAGAAAATACACAAAATCAAAACTCATGTCTTTGACTAACAACTTCAGTCCAAGCTTCCAGATTAATACAATAAAATATTTAAAAATATAATACAAACATATTTGATGTTTTTTTTCCCCAAATTTACTGATACTAATCAATGATCTGTTTGGAGGTTTTTGATACTTTGACCGCTGCACAACAAATCAGAAAATAGCTTCCATTTCCACCAGAGATCACACCCAAACTCAACACAAACTTATTATTAAAGGATGAACAACAAGCCCTAGTTCAACTGCCAGGCCTGGGTATAAAAGCAGCATCAACCAATGGTATACTGTATGGTTCAGGTGTAAAAGGTTATGTTTGTGTTTCCGCCCAAATACATTTCCAAAATAAAAATTAGATTTTTTTTAATGCATTTTTTGGAAGTTAAGCATTCATAGATTTGAAATCAACAGCTGAAAAATATTAATATCTAACTAAATAAATGCTACATTTCACCCAGATTTCTGTACATTTCTGAAAAAACATATTGATACAGACAACCCAGCAGCTTAATGTCACTTTGGAATGATATGCTACAAGTAAATAAAAACAGTGACCACCTGTAGTGCTCTCTTTCAAATCCTGCTGCCGACTTTGATGCGGCAGAATCAGAACAAAGACACACGACGAGGCGGATCCCATTATATTTGATGTATATTTGAACGTGAGTCGAAAATGTAGCTGCACCGTTAAAAATGTACCTCTGTCATACGTCTTCTCATCTTACATAGGATAAATGCAAAAACCCACCATGTGATGTCCCATCTGGACATTCCACAGTGGACCGAGACTCGTTCAGCCGAGGGTTCTTCATGTTCTGCTCTGAAAGAACCTGATACTCTTCTGATGCTTGAATCTAATTTTCCCAAGCAGTTCTTCTGTCTTTAAGCAATGTTTTCCTACTACCTTGTGACCGTAGCCAATGGCTGAGCAGATTAGATGAGCAGTGTTTTAGTCACTTTAAGGCCAGACATAAACATATCTAGCACAGGATCTCAAAACTGCAGACATTCTAAATAAAAAAATACATTATTTAGTATTAAGTCAAGATTAAGGTTTGAATTTTCTTTAGGGTGTATGGATATCAGGAAAGAGGTGGAGGAGATTTCTGAGACCTTGTAGATAGCAGGAAGGATCAGTTACAGTTTAGGGCTGCATTTTATCCAGTAGTGTTGGGAACCTGAACAAAACTGTACTCTCTACAATGAGGTCATCCTTCGATCTGCCGCCAAGGACAGAAAGACAAGTGATTAAATGCCATGATGACATGTTCGTTCCATCAGCTGAACAGAGAACACGTCAAAAAGCAACATGAACAAGACGAAGAAGACATGTTACATTCAAACACAGCGATATAACATGTTTTGAAGGAAATCCAGAATCAGTGTCAAACAAACAGACACAACAACGACGAAGGCTCTCATTCTACACAAAACATCTCTAAGGCTTCGTGAGCAGGGGTTTAATCTTCTTTGACCAAATGATCAACTGTCAACACGTGTCATCGTTCTACAGGTTGTCGTTAGCGGACTTCCGTCTGATGTTGGAGGTGCCTCATCAGCAACAAGTCCAGTGCAGCTCAGTCCATCCTGTGCTGGACTGTCGTCACATGTCGTTTGTACTGATGTCAAATGAACTTTAGAGATTTACCGTTTGTTTAGTTTGTTTGTTTGTTTGGTTGTTTTTTTTGTTTGTTTGTTTGTTTTTTGTTTTGGGTTTTTTTTTTTCATTTTCTTCGAAGATCGTTTTGTTCTGCACCATGCAGATCACTCCTTTTTTTTCTTTTTTTTTTTCTTTTTAACTTCGTTCCCACATTTGGTCTATACTTCTGTGGCCAAACTGCACACAAACAAGGTTGGACCAGGACAGACTTGTCCAACTACAAATCGCTTCATAGTTGAACTCGGTGGCAGGAAGAAACAGCAGACGTCAACAGCGACGCACGGCTCGCAGGACGCAGGGAGAGAGAGAGAGAGAGAGAGAGAGAGAGAGAGAGCACCAGCGCTGCCCCACTGCTCCTCCACCTCCACCACCACCACCACCGCAGCCGTGTCTCCAAAAACTTCTCACGTTTAACAACATGTTTATGCACCGATGGAAGCAGGAGTAGAAAGGGCAAGGAAAGGAGTGAGGAAAGGAGTGAGGAGAGGTGGTGGCAGAGGAGGAGGAGGAGGAGGAGATCACGTAATGAAGAGTTAAAGGCAAGTCACAATTGCGCAAAAGCGGCTGCGACTTCTGCGCGACAGCAAAAACACAACAATCCAAGTGTCAGACGTGAAGCTGGGAGTTGATCCAAAACTTATCTCACACACTGACACACACACACACACACACGCATATACAGAGAGAGAGAGAGTGAGAGAGAGAGGGAGGAAAGCGAGGCCGATCACCCACCTAAAAGTTTCCAGCTCCGCATTAGTCACTTTCACATGGATCCCGGTAAACTTCCATCCTGGGCCACTCCAGAAAAAATCCACGGACTCGGCTCCTCTTACTACCTCCACGCGATTCGTGCTGGGATCGTTTGTAACACTTGTCCCGATTATTTTTCCGTTTCTCTCTTTCTATGCGTGTGTGAGAGTATGTATGCGGGGCCTGAGAGTGAGAGTGCGCCTCTCTACCCCCTCTCTCTCTCTCTCTCTCTCTCTCTCTCTCTCTCGGTTATGGGGCGGTAAGCATTGTGGGAGTGTGACGTCAGGCCACTTTCACAAACTTTTTTTTTAGCAGGGACAGTTTTTACTGTGTATGTGGGTTGGGGGTGCGGGTGTGTGTGTGTGTGTCGCATTCCCTCTGATGGTAATTTGATAAATAATAATAATAATAAAATATTTGTATTCTTCCAATTTACAAAACAAATGGCTACACTGCCTTACAATGCAATAGAAGCTCTGATTGAAACATTAATAATCCGATGAAAGGACATTGGATTTTTATTCTTTTGCTTTTACTGATGAACTCTAACGTATTTTCTGAACTCATTCCGACACTTATACTTGCGTTATACCGTTTTCCACTGTTCATTATTAACGTATAAAAGTGTCAAACACACACACACTACATCCATAAGAGTGTGTTTGTAATAATTGTTTTAAAAAATGTCTTTTTTTTGGTAAATGCGTATATTTATTTTATTTTTTTCTCTCTTTCATTTTGTTTTCTTGGTCGTTTTTTTTTTAATTTTATTATTGTGTTTACTTTTTTTTATTTTTTAATGTTAATTCCTTATTTCTCTTTTCCTTTTGTAGTCCCCACAGCCAACGGCTAGGTGTGTGGTCAGTTTTATTGTTGCAGAACTAAATTAAACTAATTTAAAAAGAGGATTTAATGATTGGCATCATTATTAAGTTACATAAATGTCTGGCGTTTTACTGAGTAAAAAATGTAAAGAATGCAATCATTTCTGTTAGTATTATTCCCATATGTAGCACGTGTGCTAGCGGACCAGGGTGATGGATAAAACACAGTACCACAATAAACGAACAAACAACAACGTCTGAAAAAAGAAAGACGTAAAAAGACGTTTGTTTCTGTAAATGATAAACATTAAAATATATACCTCAGTCACAAGGGAAACAAACGCGAGTGGTAATACCAAACTTATTTATGTTTTGGCAGCAGGAGACAAGGTCCTGCGTCCACACGGTTTGATGGTGGTCTGTGACCCCCCCAAACCCCCCAC